GCTGTTGTTGGGTTATAGATGTCAAAACAATGCTTTGTCACTGTGTAACTTTTCAGCCATGCGTCCCTTCTTTGCCTCTTATACTTTCGAACGTTGTCCTCCGTACGTCTTTGGAAGCTGCTCCATACTTTCTGTCCTGGATTTTGCAGATGCTATCATGCTTTGTGGTTGGTTTATGCATCCGGTGATCATTTTCCCTCTTTCGTTCTGCTGTTTCAGCTATAAGGTTGGTTTGCTCTTTTTCCCTCTGCTTCGTTCTCTGTTCTTTTGGAGCTTTCATTTCTATTGACCAGCTTCAGGGTAATTATCTCCACCAGTTTTTCGCTTTTCGTTTTATATGCTGTTTACTGCTTCTCCTTATCACCTGTGGCAGCATTTGCTATTTTATTCGCTGACTTTGTTCCTTTTTCCCCTGTTTCCGTGCTGGTGAATGCTGATCCATGTATGCCGTTGCTATTGTGGTGAGCTCATTTTAAAACAAAAAAAATGGCTTTTCCAGCCTCTTTGTTTTCTTTCCAATATCTCATCTTTCTGTGCTTGTCATTTCCTCTTTTACAGCTTTATTTGATGTCCTTGTACTTGGGATTTTCTGGCATTCTCGTTCTTCCGAGGACGCTGCTATGGAGCTGATCTTCTGTTATGTGTTATGGCAGGAATTTGGTTGCAGGTCAGATGCTTGTTTCTTTGTTTTGCTTGGCTTTTTCCTCCTTCTGGCTGCATTAGTTGCCGGCTATTTCTTGCCTCCTTCCTGGTCATTTCATACTTTACTTATTTTCCCCAACATGCATGGCTTCTTCAGAATCTTCATGCTTTCTTTAGTATTTTTGCTTCGTACATTGTTTAAGCTTGCTTTACCGTTTTCGCTCGCTACATTTTTGTACTGTAGATGGTGTTCATGCATGTCTTCATCTTTTGATTGTTTAATTTCTTACATCAATTCACGTGTGTCGTGGTCTTCAGACTCTTCACTGGAAATCAGGAACTGCTCCACCAACTCTTACCCAATCCAATCTCCAGAGTCCAGACGTCCTCCTCACCCCTTTGTTTCTCCTTTTCCTTTTCTCAATCAATCAATCTTCTTCCTCTGCTCTTTTGCCCCTTTCTTCTTTTCTTCAACACAAGTCAAATCTCTTCTCTCCATCTCTCTGTGTTTTGTTTGTCTCTCAAGTCCACTGCTTTCTCCATTTTAATTTTGTTTATGCTGTTCCTGCCCCTTGATTAAATTTTCTTTTATTCTCTATTAAATTTTATTTGCTGTTCCAGACTTCCAGTTCATCTCAATCAGACTCTCAGGCAGACAGACACCCAATTAAAAAGTTTCGAGTTGTTTCACCTATTTGTTTCATTGTTCTCCCCTTGTGACCTTGAATCAATTTGGTGAAGGTTCAACCTTGCAGTGAGCTTGACATGGAAATGAAGTGCAAACTGATTTCAGAGTATATGACAAAGGTTACTTTTTTGTGTTGTATGATAACTTGCCTAAGCTTCTTTGGGTGATCTAAGGTTAGAGTAAATGGAATGCAAGAACTCTACTTATGCTTGTGATTATCCTTTTGACAAATTTCAACTTTATTTTTGGACGAAGCACTGCAATGTATTGGGGAAGAAAGTAAAGTTTTCCAGTTCTACTCTCAACATTTTTTGTTTGTTGACTATCTTCTTATGGATTGTGCCCTCAGCTTCATTACATAGTGGAGCTGAGTTTAGGCCATATATGACTTAAATGAATCTGAAAAAAAGAGGTCACTTGCTCGTTTGTATTAATTGTCTGAAACTTCTGCAAAATGTCACTTTAAAATAAAAAATTTATCTTCTGCAAAATGTCACTTGAGCTAAACTACTTCTTGGAAGGGATATAGGGTATATCTTTTAGGTTTATTAATTCTGTCTGCAAATTATTTAGCTGACTGTTCTGTTTTAATTTGTAGGTAATGAACATATTGAAAATGCTGTGCCAGTACATTGTGATGATGAGCAAAAGGTTGATTGATCATGAGACAACTTCCAAGGAGCTGCTACAATTGGGCTGGACTCCATACTTTGAACAAATTCTACATTGGAAGATTTTGTGAGCAATATTGTTCTTTGTTATAACCAAACCATGCAATCTTTAGCAAAAGTCCTTTTTTTTATAGTATTATAGGAGTCTTTTCTTTTGCCTACAGAACTGAGTTTAAAATTTATTCAGGCTGGTTTTACTTTATATTATAGGAGGATATTCTTGTTCTTGCAATGGCAAGACTTTTCCTTTGGGATTGTCCTCAACATTGTTGGACTTACGGTACTGATGAACGGTGCAGGTCATATTTTATGTTTCATAAGATGGATGTTCACTAGCCGCAGTTAATATTCAAATACTTACCAATACTTTCATTTACAGAGAGTTACGTTTATCAGGTAAACAAAATGCAACTCTCTCTCTCTCTCTCTCTCTCTCTCCCCTTAATATATGTGGCTTATATTCTGCATTTTGGTGTGTACATTAACTTGCAAATCCATACATTGTTGGTCCATTTACCTGTACAATAGATGCTCAGTGACTTCCTTATGTGTCCTAAATAAAATGTTAAGCTTCCTTACATAGTCCACTACCCCTTTTTAGAATGGAATACGGTAATACCAACAAATCTTTATGACATGAAAAAAATTCCGTTACTTTTTCCAGTACATGTGAATGTGCCTACTGCTTGGTACCTATAAATGTGAAAAGTTGTGACAGTAATTGTTCCAATTTTTTGCTACTATAAGTAATGTGTCAATTATGTACCTGAATAGCATAGTGAGAGCTGGCATTAACTTTAAAGTATGGGGAAGAAATCTTCTTTAGCGATGATAATAAGCACATAGGTATAATCATGTGTTGTGTAAATCAGCAAGTCAAGCTTAACTGAGAAGTTTCTACCTTAAAACATCATGCCAACTCTGATTACAAGGTTTTAGAGGATGCTTGATTTTCTTTTCTCAGATTTTCGGCTAGACAAGGTGGAAGGGCATGATAGCAGTCCTTTGGCTCGGTTCAGTTAATGTCAAGTGTCAACATGCTGCAAGATAACAATTAGTTTTCTCGATAAATAACTGATGCTGTTAAAAAGGATTTTAATTCCATAATATGTTTCATTCATGCTTCCTATTATCTTGATTTTGAATTTACAGTTGGATACTTTGAATGAGAAGCTACGTCAGTCACCAACTTATGGAGTTCAGCTTGGAGAAATAGAATCCTATGCAGTAAAACTGCAATTTAGAAGATCTTTATGTCAAGCTATTTTCAGGATTTAGGTTTCATTGTCCTTTTGGCACAGGTCTGCCAAACAGAGGAAAGAAGGGCAATAAGATCCTTGAAGATGTTAGAAGCTGACCCATTTAAACCACTTCTTATCCTACTTGAGCATCAAGGCCTTCTCATGGAGCGGTCTATATCTATTTCTGTTATGATTTTTGTAGTTTCCTTTATGTTCCCTCCGTGGGTTCTTAAACAGTATTCTGGAGGTTTTTAGAATCATAAAGGTTATATTGCCCCCTCCATTTTTTCAGGATAAGAGAAGAGCTTTGGTTTGGAGTAGAGTCCTGGAGTCTTGAAAGAAAACTATATGTTGTCATCCCTTGAGTGGAAGTGAGGTAAAATTAACAAGTGCATTCTATATTTTGACAAATAAAGTTTTGAGACATTTTCCTTTCCTTGTTTGACTAAACCATTGGCATCAGATTCTACATAGTGCAGATATCTGTTTAACACATGCATAAATTGGTAATCTATTGTATCTGATTTCTAAGCCTCCAATCACTTGTATATTGTTTATTAATTCCAAGGATTGTATTTCGATTTGGATCACGGATTTAACTGGAACTCTCTGTCCTATTGCAATGTCCTCTGAAGTCGAAAGGCTAACTCAGTTTTCAACTACTGAGCTCTAATGTTTGCAAATAGAAGTAATTATCAATTTTTTTTTTACAAAACAATTGTTTCCCTCTATTTTTTCAAAAGCTTATATTGCTTTCTCGCTTTATCCGCACTAGAACATGGATATAGCTCAGCATCTCCAGACTATTCTACATTGAAAGATGCTTATATGCTACATCAAGCCTTCTACTTCAAAGTCCAGGATGATGAAATGCGTAACTTATGAAATATACCACTTACTACACTACAAATGAAGCTCTCAACATTGACAACCTCAACATTAACAATCTCAACATTAATGATTGACAATCTACCTATTCTGTATTTTTACTCGAGCCTTCATGTATCAACAGTCTGCACTTATTACTTGTAATGTTTTTTACTTGTGCCTTTGATATGTTATTCATTATAATTTCCAATTTTGTCAATTCCTTGTTTCCAGTTTTTTATTCGCTTACTCAGCAACACCGGGCATGCCAGTCTTTGAAATCTACACCGCGTGGTGAGCACCTCCTAGTAAACTTACTAAAGGCATAAGATCAAATATTGCACCGGATGCATGCCCATATTACAAGGTTATTTTAGACGGAAATTCATGCGAATATGTGGTTTACTAGTTGACATCCATGGTCTCTTGGATTGAGAAAAGATTTGGGTTAAAACTTTGAATAATATTTTTCTGAACTTCAACATACAGAATTCATCCATTTTGTTGAAGTTTGAGGACAAAAACGCAAATTATGATAAATTAAACTCTAAGTACAATATCTAGTAAAAGTTCAGGGACCTAAAAGATAACTTGTCCTATTTTGAACTTAAATCAATAAGATAATTTGCTATGCAAATGATGTCACATCTCTAATTGTCTGATCTGATGAATAGCTTTCCATTATTTTTGTATTTTGATTGTTGCATCTTACCAAACATTGTAGGCATGTAAAGATACTTTTGTTAGATAATAAAGACCAGGACAATCATTTACAAGATTAATGACAAGACTTCATAGATATATTATTAGTTTAAACTCATGAAAGGTACAAGATTAATCATCTTAGTCGATTTGGAAGATCACACATCTTGAAGAAACCTTGTAATCTGTCTACGCAGTTACATTTGCAAAGGATTCTACAAACTTTTTAACAACATCACAAAGAATTTTCATTTTTGGAAGCTCATAAAATTCAATACCGTGATAACCTCCTTTATCAAACTTAGCCACCACTTCCACACCACTCTCTTCCAAGATTTTGGCAAGTTCAACTTGACGATCAGACAATGGATCACCTTCATAGCCAGCCACCAAAATCTTCCATCCTAGACCTTTAATCGCATCAAATTGGCCTAATTTGACGCTGAGCATCGGATTACAAAATTCGTGATCTCGATCAGCTCCAACGGGCAATGCTAGCTCCCACGTAATGTCAACAACAGCTTGTGGTAAAATCTTGTCATTAACCCCCCTCAGCTCTGATTCTGTCCTCTTGACGCCACCCAAAAATGGTTGATGCAAAATCACTCCTTTGATATTCAAAGGCTTAAGATCATCAACACATGAAGATGCAATCAAACAAACATGATAGGCAATGTTTCCTCCGGCGCTGTTGCCGAAGATGAAACTGTTTGATAAATCCGCATGTTGTGTCAACCATTCGTCTTGGGAATTCTTGATCCACTGCAGAACTTCCAAGCAATCTTCATAGGCTGCCGGCAGCCTATGCTCCGGAGCAAGACGATACTCGATGGTTAAGATCACTGCCGGAATATCAGCGGCAAAAATACTATAAATATCATCAAAAAAGGGGTGGGCTGCGCTGCACTTTATAAGTCCTCCACCATGGATATAAATCAGGAGAGGAAGTTTTTTGTCCGGGGAGGATTTAATTGGTTCTTTAGGTAGGAATACACGAACCCAGGTGTTTTTAGATGGGTTTACTGGGATGTCCTTGACAAGAAGAATAGGACTGCTATCGTAGGAGGAGACGGGGTTGATGGGATCAACGACTTCACGCGTGATGGAGCCATCAGGATTCCGGATGAAGCCCAGAGGGATGAAGCCCTGAGCACCATAGAGATCTTCAGGAGGATGGCTTGCTTCAACTTGTGCAATCTGATCAGCCATGGTTCAGTGCCTAGGGAATTAGATGTAATTGATGAAGATGATATATATTACCACAAAAAAAAAAAATAGAAGATCATATAGAATACATGAATGCTTTAATTGATCAATTATTCTATGATATCTGAGTAGGTAATATCCCAATATATAAAATACGAAAGCGCTAGGAAATAGCCAAAGTTTGAAGAATTGTAGCTATGAAGGTGCTCAAGTTTGAAGAATTGTACGTCATGAAAGTGCTAGGATAGAAGACTCCAAGATAAGACCTGATGGCCCATTCGATTTAATATTTTCCTAAGAGGAAGCAGATGCTTTAGTAGCAATGATCAATTGTATCATTGTGGACTAGGCGAGTCTTCAGATTTGACTAGGGAAATGCAATACTGGCATTGTGGGGTATGTCTGACGGCTGGAAATCGCGTTAGACGGTTCACATTCAAGTAAATGTGCAAATCCCTTTCATAGCGCAACAACACAGCAACTACGCAACTATTGGTCTCCAATATACCAATTCCTAGTTTTGCTTAATTATTGGTCTCCATCCAAAATACATCAATAATATATTCTGAACTCGTGGTTCGATTGTGGTGGATTGTATATGATAGGTTGCAATTTATTCATTTATTTTATTATTAATTTCCCTTATTACCTGACTTGATATGAATTAATTGCTGAATTCTACTCATTTTTCTTAATTTGTACTTATTTCAGGGAGTAGATCAAAACTACCGCAATTACTGCCATTTTGACAGTCATCGGAAAAGAAATTAAATAGAAGGCTTGGAAGGGCATTTTTGGAAGAAGGGACAAGAGCCCTTTTCGGTCATTTTGACTAAAGTGTTCTTCCGCCTAGTAGCCGCCGCACGGAGCATCAGGATATAAGAGGAAAATTGTGCAGAAGAAAGGGGGTTCGCAGCTTAGCATTAGTTTTGCCTTTTAGACGTTCTGATTAGAACCTTTTCCTGCGCATGGCAGGAACAAAAAGGAATTGTTTCTTTTGACTTTTCTTGGACTTCTTAGTAGCTTTGGTCTCCACGCATGTCAGGAGCAAAGAATTGGAGCCTACTTTCTTTGACTTTTCCTTCTTGTACCTTTTGAGTGGTTTTGCTCTACGGATGCTAAGAACGATGAAGAGCTTCACTTGTTACTTGTGACTTTTATTTTGCTCTCTGATTGTTCGACGAATTGCGGCTCTTGAAATGCAGACAATGGCCGTGACTTTTGCTGAAATTTCCCGCGGGCTTAGTTCATCCAATATGAGCTAATCCCCTCACTCTAGTCAAGAAACGACGGATGCTTTGAGTTACCTAAAAATTGTGAGATCGATTTAATTTAATCTGTCCCTTTTATTTATTGGTATTCGCATATTCCTTGATTGCAGTGCTTATGATTGTTCAATTAATTGGTTGTTTTGGATCCAGATAATTAATTGATTTGGTAATCTAATGTCAATTAGGGCATTAAATCTGTAATTGTTTAATTGTCCTGAAATAGTGACAACTGGCACGATTAGATTCGAGTCAGGGGGATACGCGGGCTAATCTGAAATAACCCTGTTAGTGTGTTATTTGGTTAGAATAGAGCTCCTCTAATACGTAAGGCAATTGGGGAATTGAATTCTACGGGCGTACCTATGATTATTTTTCAATTAGAACAGTGATTAACGGACGTACCTTGATCACCGACACAGTAAGGAGGGGTTGACTGCCATCGCTTGTTTGGTAGTTATAACCTATTTATTGATAAATAATTAGAATTGGCTTTGCATCGATGATCAATTAGGTGAACCATTGCTGAAGTTATTTCTTGGCTAGATCTTTAATTAATATTACCTTGATTTTGGTGAATTGCTATTTGATTTTTAGTTGCCTACTTTATTTTATTTTTAATTATTTCCTTGCTTTAATTGAGTTAGGCCTTTAATTATTGTTATTCTAAGTTCAGTGAATTGTGGTTTAATTTCTAGTTATTTATTTTTATTTTCTTATTTGAATTTATTTAGTTGTCGTCGTTCCTACAAAATCACTCCCCTGTGTTACTCTGGATTTCTTAAGAAACAAATATACCCAGTCCCTGTGGATATGACCCTACTTGCCCTGTCTACAAATTCATAATTATTTGTGAAAAGAAATAACCATTCCATTCGGGTATATCGGATCAAGCAAACTCTTCGGGAACAGGGTGAATCAAGTAACCCATTGCAAACCTAGAGTCCATGCTCCAGTACTTGGAATTGGGTTTTGGTCATTTTAACTGGCAATTAGGCTTAATTTTATTATTGCACAGGCTTCGACACCCCGTCAATTTTTGGCGCCGTTGCCGGGGACTGGCGTTATTATTTGTTTCTTTTTAAATTCATTTTTGTTCTGATTTTTTGATATTTTTCTAATGTATGCCTCGATCTTCTCGTACAGGTGATTTGATTTTTGACCCTGAACTAGAGAAGACTGCGCGTAGGACAAGAAAAGAGACCAGACAGCTCAGAGAGGAGCACTCTAGTGCTACATCTCAGAGACCTGAGTCAGAAATTGAACCAACAGATTCATTTGGCGACATTTCGAGTGACTCGGAGCAAGAACAAATCCCCATGGCTAATGCACGAACATTAAGGGAGTTGGCTGCTCCTGATTTAAATCAGCAGCCTCTATGCATTACTTTCCCCACTTTAAATGATAACACTCCATTTGAGTTAAAATCTGGTCTGATTCATCTTTTACCCTCTTTTCATGGTTTACCAGGTGAAGAGCCGTATAAGCATCTGCAGGAGTTTGATGTCGTGTGCAATAGTATGAAGCCCCCGGACATTACAGAAGAGCAGATAAAAATGAGGGCATTCCCCTTTTCCTTGAAGGATTCTGCAAAGGACTGGTTATACTACCTACCACCAGGTAGCATCACCACATGGAACCAGTTGAAGAAAAAATTTTTAGATAAATATTTTTCTGCGTCCAGGGCTGCAAGTCTGAGAAAAGAAATTTGCGAGATCAAGCAGCACCCAGGAGAGTCACTCTATGAGTATTGGGAATGGTTCAAGAAGTTGTGCAGAATGTGCCCCCAACACCAAATAAGTGAGCAGTTGCTCATGCAGTATTTTTATGAGGGGCTCCTTTTCAGAGACAGGAGCATAATTGATGCTGCAAGTGGAGGGGCACTGGTGAACAAAACCTCTCAGGAAGCACGGGAGTTAATAGAGAGGATGGCAGAGAATTCACAACAATTCAATTCGAGAGAGGACGTCCCAATACGTAAGGTAAATGAGGTAGAGACATACTCTATGCAGCAGCAGCAGCTAACTGAGTTGACCTCGTTTGTTAGGCAACTGGCTGTAGGGAATGCATCTCAAGCCAGGGTGTGCGGGATTTGCACTGGTATGGGTCACTCTGCAGACATGTGCCCAATGCTTCAGGAAGAAACTGCAGAACAGGTGAACATGGCTGGCCACGCGCCCGCGCCAAGAAAGCAGTACGACCCTTACTCAAGTACCTACAATCTCGGGTGGAGAGATCATCCCAACCTCAGTTACGGAGGAAATAGGCAGCCCAACTTTGCACCGAACAGGCAGTCTAATTTCGTGCCAAATAAGTAACCAGGGTACCAGCAGCAGTACCAACCCCGACCACCTCCGCCCCCAAGCTCTGGTCCATCTTTGGAGGAGATGATGAAACAAATGATGGCAAACAAATGATGGCAACCATTACGCAAAATCAGCAAAGGACGGAGGCAACCATTATGTAAAATCAGCAAAGGACGGACTCCCGAAATGCAGGACATAAGGAATCAGATAAGTCAAATGGCCACAACAATCAACCGTTTGGATTTCCAGAACCAAGGTAAATTGCCGTCTCAGCCTGAACTAAATCCGAAGAACGTGAGCGCAATGACCCTAAGGAGCGGGAAGGAAATTCAGGGGGTCTGAACCTGTGATCCCTAAGGATAAGGATGAGGAAAAGATCGAAAATGAGTTTGAGAGGGAGGACAGCAATGGTGCAGACCCAAAGGTACTTTCAGACCCAATAATTACAGTTAAAACTAACCCGCCTCCTTTTCCTAACAGGTTGAAAAAATCAAAGAAACAGGATAAGGAGAAGGAGATTTTGGAGGTTTTTCGCAAGGTTGAGATAAATATCCCCATGTTAGACGCGATCAAACAAGTACCAAAATATGCCAAATTCCTAAGGGACTTGTGTGTCAACTGAAAGAGGTTGAGGGGAGATGAGAGAGTCATTGTTGGGGAGAATGTGTCAGCAGTCCTGCAGAGAAAGCTTCCACCCAAGTGCGGGGACCCAGGTATGTTTACTATCCCTTGTAGGATAGGTAACACTGTGATTAGAAGGGCCATGTTGGATCTGGGAGCATCAATTAATGTCATGCCTAAATCTATATATGCTTCTCTAAAACTAGATCCATTAAAAGAAACTGAGATAATTATTCAATTAGCTGATCGAACCAATGCATACCCTGATGGGTTGGTTGAAGATGTGTTGGTGAAAGTTAATGATTTGGTGTTTCCATCTGATTTTTATGTACTTGATATGGATAATGATCACTCCCCCGTAGGGGTGGGCACGGGTCGGGTACCCGCCCCGAACGTCAAATGGCTGACCCGACCCTAACATGTCGGGTCACTATTTTTTTGACCCTAATCCGCTCCGCTTGCCCTCGGGTACCCGATCTTCGGATACCCGAAAAATAGGGGCGGGTCATAGGGTACCCGCCCCTATTAAAGAATGCAAATTCCTGTATGAATGCAAAGACAAAGACAATAGCAAAAACAAACAAATTTGCAATTTCATCTTAGAAGATGAACCTGCCGTACGTCCAGCCCAAGACAGAGACAAAGACAATAGCAGTATTCAAACTATTTAGTTCCACACCAAGCCATAAAGTTAGAAATACAACAAAATTTCCCAATTCCAGCTACAATCACCTTAACCTTCTACAACACATTAAGGAGTACAATCTTCAAGAATCATCAATCTTCAATATTAATAATAGAATGCTCC